TCTATGAGTTGGCACTCAATCCCGATATTCAGGACCTGTTGGTGGCGGAGACCAAAGAGGCGTTCAATGAAAACACGGCAGACATAGACTACGAAACCCTTTGCCGACTCCCACTCCTCGACGCCGTTATATCGGAAACCCTTCGCAAACACACAACAAATGTTAGACTCGATAGAGAAGCAATGGAAGACGTGGTGCTAAGCCGTGGAAGCGATGGATCAGTGATTAAGATTGAAAAGGGAATGATATTAGAGATCCCGGTGTATGCCATACATTACAATCCCGATTATTTTCCCGACCCGTTTGCCTTCAAACCCGACCGATTTTTGCCCGAAAATCGCCATCACATCAAACCCTATACATACCTACCGTTCGGCACCGGACCCCGTAATTGCATTGGTATGCGCTTTGCCATTCTCCAGATGAAATTAACCCTGACCAACATAATGCAACATTTCAAGTTTTACCGTGTTCCCAACACCAATGTGCCCATTCAATACACTGCGGCTCGCAATCTCTTATTGGGTAAAAATTTTGTACTGGGAATTTCAAAGCGTGATTAAAGATTCAGTAGTTAATATACTAATACATGTAGATTACAATCTTCTAATCACAGTAAAATTTTCTTATTATAAACTAATTTTCTCTCTCTCTCTCTCTCTCTCTCTCTCTCTTGTAGATTATATATTTTGACTATTTGTTCTAGTTTATATTTATTAAATAAATCATTAAAATTAAAATAGATAATATTTTATAATTTCACTATAAAATTTATGTCAAAGGCCACAATCCTAATTAATTTATACAGAGTATAGAGCCCATAGTGTATACAGTACACTATCTACCATGTATATTACCCTAATATCCCATAGACAACGCGCGCTTATCTAATAACAAAAGTGAAATTTTTACGAAAATTAGTTGTGCGCGTTATATGTGAAAATACATAACAGACATAAATATTGTTCACATATTCTAATCTATTAATAAACATAATTATAATAAGTAATCAATCAAATCTATCAACATCATAAGCTAAATTTGTTTCAAACACATATCCAATAATATGTTTACTGTGTCCCCATCTATAGATATAAGATTCAGAATCAATAGTGAATCTGATATTAGGGTATATCCAATAGACGACCATGGTCGCTAGTTTAGACATCGCTAATATATTCCATGATTACACACTACATGATACAATGAATTGTCATTATTAAAAACATTATCAAATTGATCAAGTCATCTTTATCAATGTAAAATTTACAATAATAAATTTTAATTACTATATAAACAATTATTTTCAATATTTATTACGGACCGTGATATCAATATTTTTCAGTGTAATATTTTTATTATCCAGTTAAATCTTATTGCTCACTCTACAAAATATAATCACATCACGTGTGGACAATTAACATCGGGTTTGACCATAGTTAATATGTCTAAATAAAATTTATTATATTTTCCATAAATAAAAATAAAATTAAATGCGTTGCCAGAAAAAAATAATTAATATTTTTCAAACTTAGCAAAATGTGGGCAAACACACATGATGACAATATTAATAAATTAATTAATGACATTGTTGGTGGTCGGGCTTGCATTAATGGTCAGGATGATCACGGTGTTGACTACCATGATTACAGTGATGAGCGCGCATTCTTCGTGGTAGACGTGGCCGACATTATCGACAAACACACGCAATGGACTCAACGCTTACCCCGCGTTCAGCCCTATTACGCGGTCAAATGCAACCCGAGTCCGATCGTGTTGGAAATACTGGCCGGACTCGGCTGCGGCTTTGACTGCGCCTCCCGGGGAGAGTTGGATCAGGTGCTGGCGCTCGGACTCACCCGACCCGAGCGCATTATTTACGCCAACACGTGTAAGCCCGGATCGTATATATCGCACGCCCGAGCGCTCGGCATACGTCATATGACATTTGACAATAGCGAGGAGCTAGTTAAAATGTCGCGTCTGCACCCGGATGCTTTGTTGGTAATCCGGATTAAGGTTAATGATAAATTGTCCAGGGTACCCCTAAGTGACAAGTTTGGCGCACATATCTACCAGATACCCGAGTTGTTGGCAACGGCTAAACAGCTAGGTCTGAGTGTTATCGGGTGCAGTTTTCACGCTGGCAGCGATTGCCAAAGCGCCCAGGCTTATCATCAGGCTATTTCTGATGCCCGCTTAGTGTTTGATATGGGTAGCGAACATGGCTACGACATGACCTACCTTGATATAGGTTAGACAAAATTGTACAATCACTAATCACCTTGTTAAAATAATAATATTGATTGGGTATAAGGCGGTGGATTTCCCGGGTCTCCCATCTCTGGTGTTTGTATCCATGAGATGACTGATGCAGTAAATGTGGCACTGGATAAACATTTTCCCGCCACAGATTCACGCTATAATCATGATAATTTTACCATCATTGCAGAATTAGGTAGATATTATGTAAGTAAATAATTTTTATAAATCTATACTTAAGTGTTCAGTATAATAATTATCTAAATTAATCTAAATTAATACTGTAATAATTATTATTAAATTTTACATTTCATCACAGCAAGTTAAAATGTAATACCATTAATAACTTTAATATTTGAGATACTTTTACATTTATTTTTACAACTACATATCACAAATGTTTTACCAAGGTCGCGTCGGCGTTTACCCTGGTGACAAACATAATTGCCAAACGCTGGGCGCCGGTAGTAAACGACAGCCAACACAAGCCGGAAATGCAATACTACCTAAACGATGGAAACGCCGGCTCTTTACGCGGCGTCCAAAGCAAACCGCAGCCCCTCATGTCGTTGCCGGGCCGACCCGTATACCCGTCCACATTATTTGGGCCAACCTGTTCCAGTTATGACTGTATTCGGCGAGGAGTGCCACTCACCGAGATGTTTGTGGGCGAGTGGTTGTATTTTAAGCATACGGGCGCCTATAGCCTGTGCTTTCGGACTGAGTTTAATGGATTCCCTGCGCCCACGTTCGAGTATATGGTTAGTTCCCGAGCGCTAGAAATTCTACAGCGAATGTCTAATTGGCGTAGAATTTCTACCATAATTAATGATAACATGCATTATGTGTATAACGGGTTACTATGGGTTGACGGCCAGCAAATTGATGAGAAACCAGATGAACAACATATGGAGGGTAACAATGAATTCACACCATAACAGGTGTAACGACAAACTGATGGGAAGTATATTTTAAACACTAAACAAACAAAACATGAATTGCAATGAATTTTGGTATCAATGATGCGATTAAATAGAATATTTACATATGTTTTGTTATAATGTAGTAAAAGTAAATAAAATCTAAGTTTTAAATATTTATTATTAAATTGGCATTTAATTAATTAAAACCATTTTCAATTATATAATATTAAAACAAGATTATCAATTAATTTACGTGTTAATTTTAATGTTTTAAAAATGTAGTAATATATAAATACATAAATATACAGTTATATTTATCGGGGTAATAGTCGGGGTCGTGGCGTATGACATGTATAAAATTGTAATATGGTGTAACACAACACGTAAGATTAATCATGATGAGTTTAATTAAACTTATATTGTTACAAATAAATGTTATATGCATGGTGAAACATTGAAATGTTCTGTGTCAACGCTTCTCGACTCCTACTATAAGCCTATCGGCCTGTAAAAGATTGTAACCAGGGGTGAACACCACCGGCACATCGGTGTCGGGCACACCATAGAAACGGAATTGTTGTATCATTTTGGCCACAACTAGTTTGATTTCGAGTAATGCAAAGCGCATACCAATGCAATTACGGGGTCCGGCGCCAAACGGTAGGTATGTATAGGGTTTGATGTTATGACGATTTTCCGGTAAAAACCGGTCGGGTTTGAAGGCAAACGGGTCGGAAAAGTTGTCCGGCGAGTGATGTATGGCATACAACGGTATCTCAACAATCACTCCCTTCTCGATCTTAACCTTTGACCCATCGCTACCACCGCTCAGCACCACGTCCTCCGCGGCCTCCCTTATCGTCCTGAGCCCTACCGGATAGTGGCGTAGAGTTTCCGATACAAAGGCGTCAAGGAGTGGGAGTCGACCAAGGGTTTCGTAGTCTATGTCTGCCGTGTTTTCATTGAACGCCTCTTTTGTCTCCGCCACCAACAGGTCCTGAATATCGGGATTGAGTGCCAACTCATACGTACAGAACGACAGCGTTTGGGCGGATGTCTCGTAACCGGCGATTAAAAATAGGGCGCATTGGGCGACGATTTCAGCTGAGGTTAACTTCTTCTCCACGACTCCACTCAACGCCTGTTTCTCTACTTTTAGTTCATCGATGCCTTCACTCAAGTGATGTCCAAACATAGCATCGGTGGTCACAGAGTCCGCACCCGTAGTGTTGTTGTCCTCCACTCTCTCCACATCCATAAGCAGTTGCATAAAATCATTATGTTTTTTGGCCGACTGTTTGCGCTCAGACATCACCCGTCGAATGAGGTCTATGAAGAACATGCAATTTGATTGGACCCCTTTGGCCAACCCTTTCCACGCCGGGGTTTTGGTCAGAAAAATTGGTATAATTTTTGAAGCAATTGTTTGCCACGTAATGATTGAAAATACTATTTTTGTCACTCGATTTGCTTTTGTTATGAACGGGTTGTTTGTGTTTGAATAGGGTTTGGTTTTGGTGGCAAAGGCAC